GAGAGAGAGAGAGAGAGAGAGAGAGAGATATTAGTGTATAATGGTGCCCACCAATTTATTATCTGAAATAGCATTAACAACAAGAGGTGAAAGGATTATATCGAAGAAAATGTGTATCGTCATTTTTATCCTGAATACACAATTTGAGGAGATGGATTTCTGGGATTTATTTTGGGAATTTATCCCAACTGGGGAGAATGGAGGCAGGAGAACAATATAATATTAGGAATGTGAAATACCAGCCAGGCACAGTGGTGCACACCTGAAATCCCAGTGGCTCAGGAGGCTGAAGCAGAAGAATCATGAGTTCAAAGCCAGCCTCAGCAACTTAGGGAGGTTCTGTCTCTAAATAAATATTATAAGGGGTAGGGATGTAGCTCTGTGGTTAAGTGCTCCTGTGCCAAATTCCCAGTACCTAAACAGGCAAATGAATAAATACATGCAAAATACCCGTAGGTCCTAATGTGCCTGTTATTAACCTTGTCCTGTCCAAAGCAATTGTGTAGCCGCCTGGCCCATGCTTGAGGACTTGCTGATGATCCTTGCTCTTCTTTCCTGAGCGCTGGAATCTGCTGTTTTGTGCCTCTCGTTCTCAGGAGGTGCTCTGTGCAATCTCAGTGCCTGTTCTGTCTTTGAAGTCTCTGAGCCTTTCACACGGATTTCCCCGCTGGTGGCAGAAACACCAGCTGGGATGAGGGCTGCCTTTTACAACCTGTTCCACCACAAACACGGAGTAGGGCCTATGTTAGCTCCATGCGGAAAATGCTATCTGCTAGTTTTCATTTTCATCTGATTAAAAATGTGATTTAATTTCTATTTTGACCCATCAGTTTTTTTTTTTAGGGCGTAAATATTTTATTTTGTTTATTTTTTATTTTTTATTTTTTTTATTGGTTGTTCACAACATTACAAAGCTCTTGACATAATCATATTTCATACATTAGATTCAAGTGGGTTATGAACTCCCATTTTTACCCCAAATACAGATTGCAGAATCACAACAGTTACACATCCATATTTTTACATAGTGCCATATTAGTGACTGTTGTATTCTGCTACCATTCCTATCCTCAACTATCCCCCTTCCCTCCCCTCCCATCTTCTCTCTCTACCCCATCTACTGTAATTCATTTCTCTCCTTGTTTATTTTCCCATTCCCCTCACAACCTCTTTATGTAATTTTGTGTAGAAAAAAATTTAAACAATTTTTTGTATGAAGCAGAAGAGAATATAAAACATCTACTTTGGGTACCTCATAAAATTCTAGAAAACATGGATTACAAGAAAAGATGAGAGAAAGGAGTCAAGATATGAACTGTCTAATGTACAAAAATAACTAGCAAAAATAACTAGACACAGAAGTAGTGTTATACTACTGTAACAGACATGGTAAGCAATTAAAGTCTTGTAAAAAATTCAGTCTCAAATAAATATATTACATTTGCAATAAACATAAAGGGAAAAAAGAAAATTTAAAAATATCAGTAGAAAACAAAGAGCAAGAAGTCATAAAATATAAGGCTTCAGTATAATTAAGACTAGCCATTTTAATTATGAATATAAATAGGATCAAGTTAATTTTCCCATTTATAAAAAGACTCACATTTTGAGTGAAATAATAAATTGGAACAAAACATGGAACATAATTCTGTTCTACGAGAGTGATCTCTCTTGCACCTTGAGTAACTTAAAAAAATTTTAAAGTAACAGGATAGGCAACAGTATTTAAAAAAAAAAATAGAAATAAAGATAGAAATGCCATTATTAAAGTAGATTTAAATGCAATAGAGACTTAAATGGAATAAAGACAGTAATTTTATATTGAAAAAGGGAAGCAATGCCTGAAAGCTGACAATCATTGTAGATGATAGAAATATCCCTTTATATTTGGAACATTAACTGGTAGAAAGCATATAAGGATACAGAGGATTTAAATGGTTTCAATACAGAAGATTCAACAGATCTAACTAATAGTGTGTTTCCTGTACACAGATAATGTATTTTATCCAGGTAAGTAATGAGGAGTTTTAAAATCTCCAAAGTATTTTGGACAGAAAAATGAATGAAAAATAGCAACAGGTGCGCAGGGCTCACTGCGGACTGTGTAAGAAGCTAATTGTAAATTTATGAAGGAACCTCCTTGTTCCAATCCTGTAAGACTAAACCACCACAATTTCCCTAGATAATTATTGGGTTAAAGTAGGAATCAAAACTGCAGTTACCATGCTTAGAAAATAGGGATAGTGAGAATAGCACATATCAAAACATATGGGTTCCAGTCAAAGCTGTAATCACAGGCATCCTAACAATTTAAATCCATTCATTATTGAACAAGAATGAATGAAAATATTTGATCTACACGTTTAATTCATGAAGTTAACAAAACAAACTTGTGGAACTAAGAAGAAAGAAATTAATAAAATAAAAGCAAAAACTGGTAAATAAAGAGCAAAATTTGTAGATCTGGAAAATAAATACAAGACTGCTTATTTAAAAAAATAAACAAACATTTACAAACAAAAATCTTTGCAGCTTTTTTCAATTCAGGAAGAGAAGGAAATAATTTTAGCACATAATTCTAGAAGAAAAAGAGAAAACGAAAAATTATAAAAAGACACTGAAAGATGTTGTAAAACAAAATCCAGGTTATTATGTAAAAATCTGGAGTTAAAAAAATCCAGATTAAATGGATAATTGTTTAGGAAAGCATGGAAAATATCCATACATGTAAAATTTGAAAGTTATCAAATAAGTACTCTCAGAAATATGCCAAACCTGGATATATTTATAAAAAATATTGAAATATTTTAAGGTAAAGTTTCTTTATTCACTTTTGTCATTCATATCATTCTAGTAAAACATCAAAATTCCCATCGAAATTGTAGAGAATTATATAGTACACACCTAAAAATTGAATTTATCAATGCAATAAAATTTACTAGCTCATGATTAAATTGGATTTATTACATAACTGGAAAGTTGGCT